CAGGATGCTTTCATAAAAACTTGGAAAGACTTACATGAACTGATGCAAAGCAAAGTGAGCAGAACCAAGAGAATATTGTGTATAGTAACAGTAATATTGTATGATGATCAACTGTGAAGAATTAGCTGTTCTCGGCAATACAACGATCCAAGATAATTCTGAAGGACTCATGATAAAAAATGCCATCCATGTCCAGAGAAAGAACTGACGAAGTCTGAATGCAGATCAAAGCATACAATTTTAACTTTATTATTCTTTGCATTGGTTTTTTCTGTCTGAATCTTCTTTCATAACATGACATATGTAAGTGTTTTGCATGATTACACATGTATAACATGTCAAATTGCTTACTCTCTCAGGGAGGGGAAAAATAGGAAGGGAGGAAGAGAATTTGGAACTCAAAAAAAATTTTTTTTTTTTTTGCTTTTTGGTGAGGCAATCAGGGTTAAGTGACTTGCCTAGGGTCACACAGCTAATAATTGTTATGTGTCTGAGACCAGATTTGAACTCTGGTCCTCTTGACTCCAAGGCCGGAGCTCTATCCACTGCACTACCTAGCTGCCCCTGGAACTCAAAATTTTTAAAAAATGAATGCTAAAAATTGTTTTTTACTTGTAATTGGGAAAAAAATTATATATAAGAAAAGAATGGCCAGAATCACTATAGGACCTGGGGACCAAGGCTTGGGATTCAGAGATAAATAAATTGACAGACCCAAGAATATCTGGAAAAGATAAATTGCCTTAGTTGCATTAAAAGATACAGAAGTCATTTCAGGACACAGGGTTAAGTCAAATGAACCTGCCTCACCTCCCAAGACCTTACAGAGGTAGGTCCAAAAAGGACGAGTCAGCAGTCTGCGTAGCAAAGGACTGTACCATATCTGAGGAATAATAATAGAAATAGCTAGCAGCCCAGTAGATAGAGTGCTGGGCTTAGAGTTAGAAAGACCTGAGTTCAAATGAGTCCTCAAATACTAGCTGCATGATTCTAGGCTATGTGATTCTAAGCAAGTCACTTGACCTATTTGCCTCAGTTTTCTTAATTGTTAAATGGGGATAATAATAGCACCTACCTCCTAGGGATGTTGTGATGATCAAATGAGAGATTTGTTTTTTTAAAAAAAGCCACTTGGCACATAGTAGATGCTATAGAAATGATTATTCCCAATTTATATGTCTTACAGAATAGGTAAGCCATCCGTAGAGGAAAACTTTTTCTCCCATGTGTCCATCAGATATCTCAGAGCAGTTTAATTTTCTAATTTGGCAATCTAGGGACAGTTTGTTAGTTTATACATTTGGAGGGTACTTCATGGTAAGGCGTACAGGCTTCCCTACCTTTAGCTGAGTAACTGATCAGTCCTTATGATCTGGCCTATTGCACTCAGTCTGGTACAAAAATATCAGCTATATGTGGTTTACATGCAACCTGTGGCTATATGTAAAATATATAATATATAAACAAACATATTAATATAGACTATATATATTAATGTAGGTTATATAAATATATAAAATAAATATACAAAATCTGTAAATTCCATGTTAGAACTATATTCTATGGGGCACAGAAGTCACATGGCTCTTTTGATTAATACTTATTTTTAAATTTTATTTATTTATTTTTAGTTTTTAGCATTCACTTTTACAAGATTTTGAGTTCTAAATTTTTTCCTCCTCCCTACCCCCCCGCCAAGATGGCATGTAATCTGATATAGGCTATACATGTACAATCATATCAAACACATATCCACATTAGTCATGTTATGAAAGAAGAATCAGAACAAAAGGGAAAAACCACGAGAAAGAAAAAACAAAACAACAACAACCAAAAAAAGAAAATAGTATGCGTCGATCTGCATTCAGACTTTCTCTGGATGTGGATATAGCATTTTCCATCATGAGTCTTTTGGAACTGTCTTAAATCATTGCATTGCTTAGAAGAGCTAAGTCTAACAAAATCTGTCGTCACATAATGTTGCTGTTACTGTGTACAATGTTCTCCTGGATCTACTCACTTCACTCAGCATCAGCTCATGTAAGTCTTTTCCAGGTTTTTCTGAAGTCTGCCCACTCATCATTTCTTACAAAACAGTATTCCATTATATTCATATACCACAACTTGTTCAGCCATTCCCCAGTTGATGGACATCCCCTGAATTTCCAATTCTTTGCCACCACAAAAAGAGCTGCTATAAATATTTTTGTACATGTGGGTCCTTTTCCCTTTTTTATAATCTCTTTGGAATACAGACCTAGTAGTGGTATTGCTGGATTAAAGGGTATGCACAATGTTATGGCCCTTTGGGCATAGTTCCAAATTGTTCTCCAGAATGGTTGGATCAATTCACAACTCCACCAACAATGCATTAGTGTTCCAATTTTCCCACACCTTCTCCAATATAATTAATACTTATTACAAATGTGACTCTAGAGTTACCTATTCATTTCAATATAAACTAGTAAGCACCTTGTATATGTAACAAGTATAACTGTAATCAGACAAAAATAGGCTTTTCCTCTAAATGTGGCAGGATCAAGCATCAAGGAATAGATCAAAGAAGTAAATTTTCTTTTAAAAATGTTTTGTTTATATCTTTTTTCTTTTTACATAACCTACATTGCCCAATTTATTTCCCTCTCACTTCTAAACTATCTCTTATTAAAAACAAAAAAGAGGGCAAAAATAAAAATATTTAGTAAAACCAATAAATAAAATACATCTGACATCTGTAGTATTCTACACTCACAGTCACCCACCACTGCAAAAAAAGGTGCCTTCTCAAATATTTTTTTTTGGAGCCAAGCTTGGTCAGTTTAATTTCACAGCATTCTCTTTCAACTGTTATTATTCTTTCCAAACATAATTCTTGTAGCGCCCTTGTGTATATTGTTTTCTTGGTTCTACTTACTTTACTTTGCATTTTTAGAAATTAAAATATCATAGCATTATGAAAATAGTTTTAATCTTGAGGAATCCCTGAAAGGGTCTCAGGGACTCCTGGGTTCCCCAGATCACACTTTGAGAACGACTGGGTTAAATCAATGCAGAAACAGGAAGCAGAACTATGAATAGATACATAATAGTGAAAAGTGAGTTAAAGTAAAAACAGAAAGTCTAAGTTAGCCTTCCTTAAACACTGAGATAAAATTTTGAAAAGATAGTGTTGAAAGAATATATTTCAGTTGGAAATAAAGTAATTGTACTGTTTTAAAACTTGCTCCATACTGTTTCTCTGTGTTTATACTTAGTGAAAGGGAAACAGCCTGGGGTTGTGGAAAGAACACAAGACTTTGAGTTGCCTTGACTCTGCCAATAACTATGGGATTATAACCAAATCATCACTTCTCTAGGCCTTATTTTCCATGTCTATAAAATAAGTAAGTCTAGATCCTCTCTAAGTCTCTTCTGGGTCTAAAATTCTATCATTCCAGACATATTGATGCAGACAAGACCCTGGATTTACTCTCCCAATCCACATATTCACTATTAGCAGATTGGTCCCCAAAGCATGGCTGATTACATTTCTCCCTCAGTTTTCTTATACTGCTGTTGACTCAAACCCTTCAAACCCTCCAATATCAATTCCCAATCATTGTCTCTCCAACACCATTTCTGCTGAAATTGCCAATTAATATCAAGTAACTTCTACAAATGGATATTTACCAAGAAGAAATGGCAAGAACAGAAGTACAAACACAATCCTGCTGAACTAGGCGCACATTCTGCCCAAATCAAATGAGATCATATTAAAAAAAATTTTTTTTTAAAAAAGCTCTTAGCACAGTGCTTGACACAAAGCTATATAAACGCTTATTCCCTCCCTCCCCTCTACCAGGAACCTAGACAGTGCAGTAGATAGAGCAGTGGTCCCGGAGCCAGGCAGACCTGAGTTCAAATGTTGCCTCAGACACTTGTGTAGCTGTGTCACCCTGGGCAAATCACTTAACCTCTGTCTGCCTCAGTTTCTTCCTAGAGCTGATAACATCACCTACCTTCCCAGGGCTGCTGTTGTCAGCATAAAATGAGGTTAATATCTATAAAACATTTTGCAAACCTTAAAGCGCTGTAGAAATGCTATTTATTATTATTATCATCACCTCAGTCTTTGAGAGGTGAACTTGAAAGGTGTTGAACTTAGGCTTCCAGGGCTCTGTACCGCCCCACCCCTTATAGAAAACTTTACGCAACTCCAGTAACTTGGAGGACCCAGGATTCAGTCTCTGTATTGACCGGGGCAGGAAGGATAAAACGACTTGGGAACGTGTTTTCTCAAGGTGCAGGCGAGAGGAGCGGGGCATCCCCTGCCTCTGCCTCCGGCGCAGCGGCGCCTGGGCACGAGGCGTGCACCGGTCCCGGGGAGGCCATCTCCGGTGACAGGCATGGGAGGACCTTGGCACCAGCCACATGCAACAGATCCCAGTGGATGAAGAGGACACATTAAAAACGAACCCTGCATCAAAGCCCAAAGAAAAAGCATTGAGAGCAAACCCTCGCGCTTCTCCACCTCCCCATCTGTCCTTTAAAGGAAAGCATGGAACGGGGCTCGCTTGGAGTCTCATCTCCCCACTCCCCTCAATGTGGCCCGCCATGCAAGTGACAAATCCAGGGACCGCGGTTCGGGGGCCTGGAGGAGAAGGCGGAGCTCCAGCGCTAGATCCGGTCGCCTTTTCTCGGCTGGGGAGGGGGAGGAGAGGGTAGCCTGAAGCGAAAAGCGGCTCGATCAGAGCCAATGGAAGACTGCAAAGGGGGGCGTGACGCAGGACTGGCGGCAGCACCCGCCCTTTCGCCCACTCGTACCTTCCCAGTCCCGCCCCCTTGCCCGGAAAAACTACAAGATCCAGAATGCCCTACCACCCCGGGCTAGGACATCCCTCCCTTGACGGTCCCACCTTCTGGCTAACTCCGCGCCCTCAGTGGCTCAACTCGCGGTGGGCGGTGCCAACCCCAACCAATGGGCGGGTGTCTCGGTGCGGCGGCGGAAGCGGCGGCGCTAGGTTGAGAGGAGAGCTAGCCGCGGTCGCCGCGGCGGGTCCAGAGTCCCGGGGACTAAGACGCCTGAGAGGTGCTGCCAGGAAAGGCAGAGAGCAAGACGGAGAAGGCAGAACGGAGGAGCGGCGGCTCCACGCTTCGGACTCCAGGTAGTGGCGGGAGGAGGGGATCCGGGGAGGGGGCGGGGCAGCCGGGCCGGGCCAGGGTTGCGGCGTCCGCTCTGCCGAGGGTCCCCTGGGAAAGGTGGCCACGACGAAGCATAGTCGGTTTGCTCCTGCGCTTGGTACTGCACCGCTTAGGAAGTTATGGGCTCCTGTCATTAGGCTGGGGTAGGGCGGTTAGTCCCGGCAGTTGAAGCTACGAGGAGCCTCTGCCCCCGGCTTGAGGTGCCCCGCGGCAAGGAGGCGGGGCCTGGGCCTTGGGCCGACTGGCTCTGGGATGGAGGCTTTGACGGGCAGAAGACGGGGAGATTGGCCGGGCGGGGGGCGGTGGCGGAGGCAGTTTGGCTCACAGAGCAGTTTAAAGTGACTATCTACATCCGGGACCTGCGCCCGCCGCTTTCAGACCCAGGCAAAGGCGGGGCCTCCCTCCCCGCCCCCCCGGCCCTTCTCATTGGACGAACCATCTCTCCTCCTCTATTGGTCGCGGGGTCGTGAAATTTGGGTAGCCCTGCCAGAGCCCCTGGCTTGATTAGTCGAGGTTCGATGGGAGGGTGGAGCTAGGGCGCCGAGGCTGATGCTGGATTGGAGCCCGACCCCATGTGACGCCTTCGGCTCGGGGCCAATAGGCGGGCGGTAGGGAGGGGAGGGGCAGGTTCTTGGGGAGAAAGCTGGAACCAGATACTGAAGCTGCACTAGTAACTGGGGTGTTTGCTGGGCCGGAGCCGGTGTCACGGGGACCGAAAGGCTGTGTTGGCTGTGGGTAGGGGGCCCTACTGCTTCCCTCCCAGGTTCCTTTGTGAGTCCGCTTCCCGGACTGGAGACTGATGGAAAAAAGAGTGGGCAGGGGCTGGAAAGAAGCCTCTGGGGCAGAGAGCAGACAGGCAGTAGGGTAAGGGAGCTAGTTATCTTGGGGAGACCTGAACCTGCTCTTCCCTCGCTGGAAGAGCCGGGCTGGAGGACCCCAGAGAGAGGAGGCTGGACAGCTCTGTCATCTGATCGCATTGATTGGTTTGGGTGGGGGAGGGAACAGCTGAGCATTCGGAATTAAAACTGCTGTGGAAACAAAAAGATTTTAGAGTGGATTCCTTCATTAGAATAAGTGTGAGGGGAAGGAAAAAGGAAAGCTGTAAATCGAGGTCTTTGCAAACAGCCGTTGGTTTTTGGTCAAATTTTGGTATGAGGTGTCTGTGACTGAGCCTCTGCACCACGGAACCTTTCAGTGACATTGAGATGTAAAATCTCTTTCCGGTCAAGTTCGGACTTGCTAAAGGAAGGTTTTCTTAAAAACATACATTTTTTTGACTATAATGTGTGCACTACCAAAATGTGCTTCCTCTATACATATATATATATATATATATTTTTTTTTTTCCTTTAAAGTAGAAAAATCCCCCACCTAGTTATGGTACCCTAGTGCAAATCGAAGTACATGAATCACGGGTTGTTGAGAGTTGTATTTTAGGTAGGATTTAATGGACAAAGTGAAAGTTTTTTGTTGGGAAGCCTGGATTTTATTCCCATTTCTCCCAACTGAATGGCCCTGTCTGTTAATTTTCTCAGATTGTTCAAAGGAAGTACTTTTCTTTTAATGAGTTACCATAACATCTTTGAATGAAGTTAAAATACAAAATATGATTTTAAAATTTTCTAGCAAAGCCTTAAATAATTTGCTTTTGCTCTTGTTATTTGCAAACTTGTAAAAATCTTTAAAGACAAGGCAGAGTTCTTAATTGATTAGCACTTAATAAGGTGCCATGGGCCCATAAAGTTTCAAGAATACCTATTTGTTGATTGTCACACACACACACACACACACACACACACACACACACCAAAAAAAAAAAATTATTGAAGAATCTACTGTGTCCCTCCCCACTTCCCAAGAAGGTTTTATTATTAGCTGGATTTTTGGCTATAAGCCTATTTGCAGAAATTCCTATATTAAGCCCGAATATACCAGAAAGTTCTATATGTTGGCCATGTATAATTCTTACCTAAGAAACCTTAAAGATTATTTAAAAGAGTTGGCTAAAAGTGTAGATGACATAAAGCTGGGAACAATGGCTTATCCACTGACTTCCAGGATGAATCTAAAAAGATCTTGACAGGCTAAATGTAAAGTTTTACACTCAGGTCAAAAAATAAATGTTACCAGAACAAGATGAGGAAGCTAGGCTAGTTCATCTGAAAATGGTCTTGAGGGAGAGACTTAGTTGGCTCCCAGCTTGACATGAGATGGCCGTCGTGTAGAATGGATCTCTAAAAAGGGCAGTTTTAGGCTAATAGAAATATGGTATCTAAGAGTATAGGGTGAGAGTACTGCTTTACTGTACCCATATCAGGCTTCATATAGAGTATTGCCATTGTCAGTTCTTGACACCACTTTCAGGAAGGACATTTTTAGCTAGAAATTATCTCGAGAAAGTCAACAAGATTATTGATGAAAGACCCAATATCCTGCCATATACACATCTCTGGAACTGAAGATTTTTTCCTGGAGACTACTTATGAAGGACGTGATTATTGTAGCTTCAAATGTTTGAAAGGCTGGCTTATAGAAAAGGGTATAGACATCTTTTGCTTTGGTCCAGAAGTCAGAACTAGGAATAGTGAGTAGAGATTGCAAAGAAGCGGATTTAAATTTGATTTAAGGAAGAACAATAAAAGCTATATCAAAAAGTAGATGGGTTACCTCAGGAGGAAGTATGATCCTTCTCTGGAGGTTTTCAAGTAAAAGCTGGATGATCATTTGTTGAGTGTGTCATGGAAGGGATTCTTGTTTAAGTTGAGGTTGGACTAGATGAGCCCTGAGTTCCCTTCCAACACTGAGATCTCTGATTCTACATTGCAATTATTGGAAAAAGTAAGAAGTAGTAGTAAAAATGTTAAAATTCTAGTTTTGACATTTAAAAAATGTTTTTTTTTATTAGCATGGGTAGATGGCTGAGAATAATTTCTGAATACTTCCTGGAGAATTTTAAAATATTTTTTCGAACATGCCCCAGAATAGATAGGTCCTTTAGATCCCTTTATGATGAGAAAAATGATACTGTGATTTGAGGAAAGATAAGTCATAAAGTTAGCCATGGGTAGCTAGGTGGCTCAGTGGATAGAGCACCAGACCTGGAGGCAGGGGGTCCTGAGTTCAAATCCAGCATCAGACACCTACCAGTTTGTGTGACCGTGGGTAAGTAACTCAACTGTTTGCCTCAGTTTCCTCATTTGTAAAATGACCTGGAGAAGGAAATGGCAAACCACTCCAGTAACTTTGCCAAAAAAACCCCAAATGGGGTCATGCAGAGTGAGAACGACTGAACAACAATAGTCATAAATGGACGAGAGTAGTTTGTTAGCATTTTTCTGCTTGGTTGTAGAAATTCAGGTAGCATCTCCCATTTGAAAATTACTTAATTTTTCAGCTGATATTTTGTCTAGTTGAGATAAGTTATTTAGTTATTCTGACAATAAGGTGATGCCATGTTAAGGTTTAAGCTCAGTGGTATCAACTGTAGAAATGTGTAACATCCTGCATCTCAAGATCAGATTGTTAACAGTTTGACTGTATTTTGCAGGTTGAAATGAGTTCTCAACAGTTTCCTCGTTCAGGAGCCCCTTCTGCAGGGCTCGGCCAAGCTCCTTCACAGATTTCCAACAGTGCATCTACAGGGCTGATAAACCCAACAGCCACAGGTAAGGTGTTCTCAAGTGTTCTTTTATTTGCCTTAATAAGCTTGCCAGTTTTCGTGTTCAAAATTAGGCAAAAAATTAGGCAAATTCTACAGCCAAGTGACGTAGTGCATAGAGTGCAACTAGGAAGGCCTGAGTTTGAATCTAGTCTCAGATACTTACTAGCTATGTGACCCTGGGCAAACCACTTGACCTTTATATGCCTCAGTTTCCTCATTTGTAAAATGGGACTAATCATAATATCTCTGAGGGTTGTTTGGAGGATCAAATGAGAACATTTAAAGCACTTTGCAAAAGCACTATAGAAATGCTAACATCATCATCATCATCTTCATTATTATGTCATTTGTAATTAATTGAAATAAGTAAAATTTATAAGCCCCAACTAAAATGCAATTCCATAAACGTTTATGAAATGGTTGCTATATGCCAGATGGGAAGCATAATAGTATAATAGATGAAGAGCCAGCCTTGGGGCAATGGGTTCAACTCCTACCTTTGGCACTTGCTGGCTGGGTGACCGTGGACCATTTGACCCCAAGCAACGCTCTGAAAGTCAGGGAAGAGGTACTAATCTGTATCCATAGAGCTAATATTTGACATTTTCCCAACACCATTAAAATCATAAGTCAGTTTAAAAAGTAAAAGGAACCAGGTATATACTAGGGATACAAAGATAAAACAATCCCTGCCCTCATGGAGCTTAAATTCTGCTCTGGGGGTACAACATGTCCACAAATAAGTATTGTAAAGGAAAATGGAGGGGAGAGAGAACACTTACAACTGGGAGAGTTAGGGGGGAATCTAGCAGGGCTTCATGGAGGCTGTGGTGCCTGAGCTGAGTCTTGGTAGAAAACAAAACTTTGTTCCATCTCTGTTTTATCTCTTCCCTTCATACATCCTTGATAGACATGAAGATAATTGAGTAGTTTTCAGGTTTTTCAAGCCTGAAAAAAATTTTTCAGCATATTTGGGTGCCTGCCATATGCTCGACACTTTGGGAGGTAACATATCTAAGATAAAGTCCCCCGCTCTGGAAGCTTGCACTCTGGCAGGGGAAAGGGGACAATAACTACAACATAAGGGAATTCAAGCAGTTTCTCAGCTTCTAGGAATCCTAGACCTTTGCCTATAGGTAATTTACTTAGAATTCAAAAAATGTTTTCTCATAGCAGTAGTGTTAAGCTGTCAGAACAGAGTGATCAAACTTGCTACCCACTTCCTGATAAAGAGTTGATTGACATGGTGCATTGAAACATCTATGTTTTTGGACATGGATAATTCCAGAATTTATATTGCTTGACTATGCATATTTGTCATAAGGGTTTAGTTTTCCTTTCTTTTTTTAATTAGGAGGGAGGTGTATGTAGAAAACGGATTTTTGTTCATTGGGGAAAAAAAAGTTTCATCCTGCAAAAGCCTATTTAACCTAGAATAAGTGTGTTCTATAGAAGTGTGTTAATACTTGACATAAGACGTAGCCACTGTGTATTACAATGTTTCTGTTGGATTCATGATTCCACATTGAAGTGCCTGGAATACATCTGGTGAATCTTGAGTGATGGGATTATGGACTCCTTGTTCTCTCTCCCCCCCTACCAAGCATGGGAATGAAGGGATCCCTCAACTGCAAGCTGCTGGTAAAGGTTCTCATGGCCTAAGGCAGAAGCTCCACCAGGATGACATCTGAAATTAGTAGTAAAGAGAAAGAATAGTGGCTCTGTGAGATGGTTAAGTGAAAGGCACAGAAGCTCTGGCCAGAAGAGACCTTTAGAATACTAGTTATTCAGACTGACTCTTAGTCACCTAGGTTCTGAGCATCCCAGGGATTGGCCCATCTGCATCTTTATCCCTGCTTCTCCTTTGGCCTGCTGGGGAATAGCACTCCTTTATTCTACTATTCATGAAGCATGTACATAATCTTTCTGAGGTTATTTTTCTTTACCACTAATAACATGAAATGGACATTAGACCCCCTAGAGAAAGACTTAAGTTTCAGGTACAGATAATAGGAGTATGAAAGTTTAGTATAAAAGGGATCTTAGAGGGAATATAATTGTAATTATAACAACAATAACAAAACAAACATATATAGCTGTTTGTAAAGTGCTTTATATATTTTAGCTAATTTGATTTTTATCCTCATAACAATGTTAGAGTAGGTGCTATTATTATTCCCATTTTACAGATGAGGAAACTGAGGTAAGAGATTAAGTGACTTGCCCAGATTTACGTGGTTATTAAGTAATTGTTAAAGGATTTGAACTCAGGTCTTCCTGATTCCCAAATCTGGCACTTTATTGACTCTACCACCTACCTGCCTCAAGTCCAACCACGTTATTTTACAGATTAAAAAACAGGCTCAGGGAGTTGAAGGCTCATGCCCAAGGTCATTTAACTAATTAGTAACAAACCCTCGGACTAGAATCAAGGCCTGCTGATTCCTAGAAGAGTGTTTTCCCCACTATTCCCTTTGTTTCACCAGTGAGTGGCATGTCTTATGTTATCCAAAGGACTGAAATAAGATTCATTGACACGACCAGAGATCTGTTAGACTCACTCTCCTGGGCATGATATCACAAGAATAAGAAGAGGCCTTCCTGGTTGGGGTATGGGATGTACCACTAGTAGATGGGATAGAAGTTGGAAATGCTTCCTGTGAGACTTTAGGATGAGGCAACCACAGTAGAAATGGAAAAATGGCTATAGAGGGTTTACCCACCTCTCTCCTGGATTTCAAATTGGAGTCAGGTGAGTAATAGAGGCCAAGAACGAAGAAGACTGTGAGGCAGTAGATGGGTCTGCAGTGGTAAGGGGAGGAGAGAGGGGGAAAGTCTGAACATCAGGTGAGAAAATTTTTGTGGGCGCTCACCTAGCTCAACCATCTTGGTTGTGTATACGTTGTATATATTTGTATCAGGTGTGATTCAGACTAGTCTGGTGCTTGAAGTTATGATCAGAACAAAGTGGACCCTTCATTGACTACTTAACAGTTAATAAAAGAAAGTTTACTTAATCATAAAATTGGCAGAATAGCAAGCATATCTTACAGGTTCAGGTAGATGCTTCCCTCTTTCCCACCCTCCAAAGGTACAAATCTGGTCAGTTTAGTATTGAAGTGTAATGCACAACTTTGTGTGTTACGTGCACCAGGGGTGAAGGGCTCTGACTCTTTGTGGGCTAGCCTGTTAGTCCCTAGGCAACCAGAATGCTATATCTTAACTCTAGACCACTCAAATTACCTGCCTTTTATGGAAAAAGTACTATGATGGAAGATATTGCTTCTACACCAGTAAGGGATGTATATCAGTCTGACTTTATGAGTTAAGGTCTGCCTATGTGTGATGAATGTCATGTGATAAGTATAATGTGTATAACAAGCGTAACATGTGACTGTTATAGGAGTAATATAAGGAAGAGAAGGATTCCTTAGCAAAGTTCCCTTCTAAATAGGATCCAGTTCTACCCTCTCCTTCTTTCTCTGAAGTGGTATGTTCTTCTCTACTGCTTAGGTTCCACATGAAAACAGGGCAGGTGGTGGCATCACTAAGTAGACTAGGGTATATCTTTCTTCCCATGGGGAGATGTTGTCTCTTTTGTTTTCAGTCATACTGTTTCATATGGAACTAAGACTTTCATGGGAGGTGAATCCTAGAACTTACTGCTTATAGAAAATTAGTAGACGAGAATAGCCGCTGCTTCCTAAACCTGGACTCTTATCTGTCTAGTCTATTGCTATTTTGGGACATTTTTCACACTGACTTAGAAGTGATTGATTAATGTTTGATCACTAACTAAGGAATATTATTCGATATTGCATACTTTCCTCATTTAGAGGTAATCTTGTTTACAAAATTATGTAGACAAATTGCAGAAATTACTGAGTCCATTTCTTTAATTCTATTTGTGTGAATTAAGCATTTCTTCCTAAATGTTCATCCATAGAACAAATGGCATATACTATAGGAAATTATAAATATCCATAGAGAGGATACTTGTACATAGTATAAAAAATGACAAAGTCCTTATTATAAAGATGGTTGGTGATAGTTTGACCCTGAAGTCTTTGGAGTAAGCTATGCTTCAAAGAACATAGTTTACCAAAGATTTGAGTGGCTGCTGTGTACCGCGTACTAGGATAGATGCAATAAAAGTTTTCCAGTTAGCAGTAATATAGACATTGATGAGCCTCCTTTTTCTTTGCACAATGAGAGTATTATAGGCAATGTTTTACCTGATAGAAACCTGTTTTTGCACTATAACTCCATACAGAAAGGTAAGATTCTGTTTATTTTTCAAGTTACTACCTAAAACAAATGGGTTTCCAGAACTGCAAGACAGTTATACATTTTATCTCTTCATAGGCCAGCTCAGCTTTCCAAACTCATCAGGTATTTAGTAAGTTTTACATTTAGATATAATTTTATGATCACAAAACACTTTTGCATGCGTTTTCTCATATGATACTAAGTTCTGAAATGAGCAAAGCAGTTATTATCTCCATTTTGGAGATAAACAAACTGATGCTTAGGGTACTTGTTCCTTGTCCCAGGTGTTAACAATTTGATTCCATTTATGCAACACATACATATTAATTAAACCAACACTTGTTAATTGAGTACAAAGTACAAGACACTATTTTAAAGGCTGGGAATGTAATGATGAATAAGCCACATTCCTTCCCTTAAAGACCTTTTTAATCTAGAAGGGATACTAGTATGGAAGCAGAAATAAAAAAGAGAATGTTATCTCAGTGCATTAAGAGAGGCAGAGGGATAGTCCTACTATATTCTTTCCTTTTCAGACAACATAGGGAAGTATTGTGTTCATTTATGGAGACATATTTTGCAAAAGATAACTTTACAAAGGGATGGAAGCCAGTATGATGATTGGCCTCTAGAACATGCCATACCATATTTAAGGTTGATTGAAGGAACTGGAGCTGTATAATGGACCTGTATAACCTGAAGAAAAGTCATAAAAAGAACATAATAGAAGTCTCT